TTTTTGTACATAAATTAGGCCGTTAGTTTTCTCGTTTGAATTGTTTTACATTGTCATTTCTGGGCCTTTTATAGCTGACTGTGCGGTATGGGCTTTGCTCATTGTTGAAGGCCGTACAGTGACCTATAGTTGTTAATTTCTGTGTCATTTGGTCTGTTGTGGAGAGATGTCTCATTGGCAATCATACCACATCTTCTGGCAGGTGTCATCTGACCTTGACCTCATTTTCATGGTTCAGTGGTTATAGGTAAGTTTTTGTGTTTTGGTCTGTTTTTCTTATACTGTATGCAATAGGTCTACTATATTTGGTGTATGGAATGATTGTAAGGTGTACATTTCTAGCTGGAAGGTGTCATCTGACCTTGACCTCATTTTAATGGTTCAGTAGTCAAAGTTAATTTTTTGAGTTTTGGTCTTTTTTTCTATTACTAAATGCAATAGGTCAACTATATTTGGTGTATGGAAACATTTTATGATGTACATGTCAGTCTCGCAGGTTTTATTTGACATTTTCACGGTTCATTGCTCAGTGTTAAGGTTTTGTGTTTTGGTCTGTTTTTCTTAATCTATAAGCAATAGGTCAACTATATGTGTTGTATGGAAGGATTGTAAGCTGTACATGTCTGCCTGGCATGGTTCATCAGATTTTCACCTCATTTCCATGGTTCATTGGTCAATGTTTAGTTTTCTTGTTTAAGTCTGCTTCTTAGAAACTATAAGCAATAGGTCAACTGTATTTAGTATATTGAATGATTGTAAGGTGTACATGTATTTCTTGTCGGGTTTATATGACCTTGAATTCATTTTCTTGGATCATGTTGAGTTTATGTGATAGTTGTAGTAAAGCTTTATATTTAGGACTATCAACATGATATCAATGATTAGTAAAGAAGGCGCAACATTTCAGCGTGTGCACTCTTGTTTATACATTATACACCACATTTACTGTTTTTACCCTGATTTTATGGATCACTGAACATAGAAATGTCATAATGTGAAATTATAGTACATTCTTAGGTTAAAGTTTTAGGTTAAGGTACATAGCTTACCATGAAGTTGAATTTCATACACATGTTCATTATGTGGTGAACTTTTAAATTCAGTGCAAAACTAAGATTTTGAGCCTGATTACATGATTGACTAGACATTGACACATGCTAGTGTTTGCCAGGCATGGTGTCCTGTACTAGGAATTTGTCCTGTACTAAGAACTTTAATAGTACTCGCTGAGTATGGAGTTTTTGTGAAAGTTTAATATAAGTGAGATTTTTGCATGACATCCTGTCAACTGCTTGTTGATCATGTTTATACACGTCTTAAAATTAATATCTGACACATTGGTGTTTTGTGAACTTGGAAATAAGTTATTTGATAGAATAATAATGTTTTGAGATTATCAAAATAAAAAATATCCCATTTTTACTATTAATAATTAAGTGTTAACAAAAAGAAGATTTAGGATATATGTATAACCATATATAAAAATGAGACAGCAACCGAACAACACAAAAATAAGAAAAAAAACCAATATAATTTTTTGTATCAATGTTAAAAAATTCCAACATGTCAAAAGAGTTCAAGGTATTTTCTCATTGAAATAAAACACAAGTGGAACTCTTTCAGAACTTCAGAAGCTTAAAGAAGTGCTGTTTCTATTGTTGGCGTTTTGTATAATATATTGCAAATTCTTGTGAAAAATGGAATGTTATTGTAATTGCCTAAAGTTTTAACATTAATCTATATATATATATATATATATATATATATATATATAACTGGGGAAAATACCCAAATGTTATAAAGAAGAATACATAAATTGATTGTTATATAATATTAGAATAGGAAGATGTGGTATATTGCTAATTTGACAACTCTCCATCAGAGACCAAAGGATGTAGGAGGTTAGCAACTGATGACACTGGACAACCTTCAACAATCAGTAAAATCCATACCGCATAGCTATTTTTATTGAAAATCATATGTTATTGCTACATGTATGCAAACAATTTTTTATAATGCATAACTTTGGATTTTATTGGTTCTTTTTCAGAAGGATTGAAATTCATCACTTAGAATAAAAGGAGAAAACACAGAAACAAGACCAGAATAAATTCAAAGACAAATGTCAGATCAGTTATTATTTTCATCACTCAGTCAATGAATCGAAGTTCTATTAAATATCTAAAGATATTAAAACTACAATAATGACAATGTTCTGTGCTGAATGGCCAAAAAAGTGGACTATACATTAAGATCACACAATGCTGGATGATAAGAAACTATTAATTTTTTGGATGGAGGGATATCCTGAAAAAAAATTAGATTTATGTAAAAAGCTACTAGTATGTTAAGCCTAATAATACAGTTTTCATTGATTCCAAATGGGAAAAAAATGTGTGTTCAAAAAAGTATTCTAGAATTCATAAATAAACATATATTGATACTTACATTATCTGCTTTGTTGTTTAAAAGTTTAGTTTTGAACAATTATAGAACAATATGATTGCATTAACATTTCCAAGGAAAAAAAGATATTCAACTAAAAAGATTCATCTTAAAACAATTTACTACCAAACAGAATTCATTGTAACATACACATTACTGTATATTTATAATTTGAATCCCATAGGATTAATTGGATTTTATTTTGTCCCATGGGATATTAAAAATCCCATGGGATAATTATAGTCCCATGGGATTTTTTTTGTCCCATGGGACAACAAATATCCCATGGGACTACAATTATCCCATGGGACCCAAAAAAATCCTATGGGATTTAACCAAAATCCCATGGGATAATGGTCAATCCCATGGGATTTGCCTTATCCCATGGGATATTGAAAATCCCATGTTTTTCTAAATCAAATAAAAAAATATATATAATAATGACAGCAGAAAAGCAATGAATTTATGGAATCCCATGTAATTCTGCACATTTTGGTTATATACACGACACTGTAGCTCTAAGGAGAGGCGGCGGCGGATTTGCAAATGAGTGTTTTGCAAATTAAAAGTGTCCAGTGTTGTATGACAAATATATGTTGAAAACCTCGCCCGTAATTATAAATTATGTAATTCATTGACCGCTCCCGACAAGTGTAACATCAAGGCATATTTTAGAGGCGATCGATGTCTTTCAAAATTACTGCCTTTTTCTTGTATCCCTGGTGCTTTCGACTGGAGAACCGTCGTACACAAGCATCGCACAAGTTGGCACTCCGAGGCGGGTGTGGAGCAAGAAGATGAACTGTGGTTTATTTTTATCAATAGTACCGCTTAAGTCGACGGTAGGGGCCGTCTTGACCTTGTTGTAGGGTATGAATGATTCGTTCATTGTTGAAGACCCTACATCAACTGTCAAGATGAAGAACAGGAATAAAAGCCCTGTTCATTGATAATTTTCTAATGTTTTCTATGTATTGTGTGCGATTTTGTCCCATGTACTTTTACTCCATATCCTTTCATTTTCTAAACATTCTGTGTCTATGCATTAGTCCGTTGTGCTTTGCAGCTTGCAATGCTTGATATCAAGTAGGGATTCAGTGCGATATTCTCTGTGCCTTATGGTAATGCAGGGTATTCTGGGAAGACATACGTAGACATTACGAATACATGATTCGAAAATTCCTAGAATATACAGTATAATGCAAATCGTTCCTTTAAAAAGTTTTAACTATTTCTGAAGAGCGAAAAAAGGTTTTACTTGACAATGGACGCTTCTTTCACGTGAAATTAATAGACAGACGCAGTGCCTAAAAATCTACAAAATCTACTTTTTACTAATTTGATAAGACAGGAAACAGTAGTTTTTTTAAATCAGAGAATGCAAATTAAAAATTATGCTGTATACAATGCATGTATCACATTTGATGTACAAAAAAAAAAATCAAACATATGATTCAGAGATACTTAATGAATGGCTATTATTTATTTTGAATTTACGGATTATGTAAAATGTGAAGAGTCAAAAATTAATTTTATGGTTCAATAAATTCAATATAAATAATAGCCATTCATTATAAATAAATTTCTATCAAAAATAAGGCTCAAAGAGCTTTTTATATTATTTATATTAACAATAACAACGTACACACATGTTGGCGTATGAATACACAACGTCAGAGTGGGCGTGTCGCCATAAAAATTGACAACATTGAAAATAAAGGTAATACTTTTAACCAATCAGAAGACAGTAAATACACCAAATTTATTTATAATACAATAATCAGTTGCAGTAAATAAAAAAGGTAGTATATTTTCCTCCAAATACGACAATACTAATATTTTCTAAATTTGCAATTAAAATAAAACATGAACAAAACAATTATGCCTGGTATAAGTGTTTTATTTGTCTGTTTTAGAAATTGAATATAAAAAAGAGGATGTGGTATGATTGCCAATGAGACAACTCTTCATAAGAGACCAAATGACACAGAAATTAACAACTATAGGTCACCGTACGGCCTTCAACATTGAGCAAAGCCCATACTGCATAGTCAGCTATAAAAGGCCCCGAAAGTCAAGTGGTGGAATGACCATCTTCCAAGAGAGATTGTTTATAGTATCCATGGCAATCGTCATTTTACATTAAATTTTTGAAAATTTGGAATAATTCCCTAAAAAATGAACTGAAGTGTGAAATGAATGAACAGGAGAATTACACCGTTTAAATCGTTTTGAAACAGACAAATACATATATAAATGACCACGTGTGTTTTTAGATTCATTTCAAATTGTAACAATAACTTCTAAGTTATGATATTTCTAATAAGCATGTTGTGATCAAATGGGACTCCTAATCACTAACTCCCTCTTTTACAGAAATAGATTGAACACATGTTTTAGATTTTTGTAACTCCGGTCATAAAATACAAATACAGATCTCACAAATACTAAAGAAATTTAGATAAAAATGACAATAAATTCTGGTCAAACAAACCAACAATAAATTTAGTTATGTTTAGCTGACAGGCTTCATATATACAAATTACCCCCCCCCCCCCCCCCCCCTTTCACGTTTTGACAATTCATTGTTTTTATTTACTTTTCACTGAAAATTCGAATTTGAATTGAAAAGCATTAACACTTCGCCTTATAGATGTTTTATAATCTGACTCAAACTCTTCATCAGAGCTTTCGATTTTTCTCTCTCAGTCATTTAGATATTTGAAAATCTACAACGTTACTGTAACAGTAGTAGTACAGCAAAAAAATAAAATTCGACCTTTCATTAATTGTTGCTAGTTTGTTCATCATGTTTGTAAACCATATCCCCATACATTTAGTACTAATCAAAATCCGGATCGATCTGTCTTTAAGGTCATTGTCACACACTTTATCATATGCTGCCGATTGTATCTCATTTTTGCAAATATCAGCCATGTTAGCTCGTTTCATAAAAAAAAACACTACTAAAGAACGGCTGCACAAATAAATAAAATATTTCAAAAGAAGAATGAACAAGGACTTTACAAACATTAATGAGGGCCCTAACATATCGTTTGGTTCAACTAAAAAAAAAAAAACTTTCACACTCTCTCTTCATTTGATCTCTTACAATCTTTTTTTTTATAGCTTTGTTAATACATAGATGCATGTACATTTTGTGCTTAAAATAAATTCTCATTTAATTGGTTTTTGTTTTTGCAATAACTCCATCTGTGCGTACATATGCTTTACGGTGTCCATAACTGTCTTTTGAGGAATCGTAACAGGCGGAAGGAAAGGTAGTCGCTCTTTCTCTGCATCTTCTGCTAAAGAACAGTACCGAAATGCTTCCTGGATGTTTCCTTTCACAACACATGCGGAAGCTATCATATAATAAGCATTCGGATACTTGTCATTGCATTTTGGGGCCAAACTAATGTATTGCAGGAGCAACTTGATAGCTTTTGTTGGATCACTTTCGGTGTAATTGTAGGCGATTCCATAGAGTGCCCCAACATTTGTATCGTCCAAATCATACGATTTTTGGAACGAATCAAGCGCTCGCTCAGGTTGACTTGTAGATACGTAGTTTGCACCAAGATGATAAAATACATCGCTAAGAATTCTTCGTTGGAACGGGTGAGAATCTATGTTTAAACTGAGTTTTGACGCAAACATTTCAGAAGTTTTTATGCGTAGTTTTGCAGATTCAAAATCAGACAAAAGTTTATTCTTCCCTTGTTCCGGATTGTATGCGGCTCTCACACGAATGATAACTTTAACGTACTCAGCAAAAATGTCGTTGGGTCTGAATCTAAGATATTGCTCAATGAGAGATAAAGTATTTTCGGGTGGTCGAAATGGCTCAAACATACTATTTTCATAAATGTACCCATGTACGATATTCTCAAAAGCTGTACAAAGAATTTCACAGTCTTTCAAATCTTCAACTTTATCCTTTTTGTAGCCCTGAAATATTTGAGAAGCTACAGAAAAATGATTCCAAGCTGTAATATACCTGTTTGCTGTTGGCGAGTCTGGGTACTGTTGGAACATACTTAAAGAACACATGCGATGCTTTTGAAATACTCTGACTGAATCTCTAGATTGTTTAATGATTTCCTTATTTTCATTTTGTAGGTAATTCAAAACAGGTGAGAACACTGGATTTGCCATAAATGCTCGAAAATCTGGGACTTCATCAATCCCAGGACATGATTTAAATTCCGGTGCTGTTTTATCTCCGTTTGATTTTCTGTCAGCCATACCATTTCTTGCATTTCTGTAAAAGATTTGACTATTACAAAAACTAATTATACGCACGAAGGGGACCGCGGATAAAATGCATATCGAGGACACAATGTCCAGTACAAGATATATTGTAAATATTGTAGTACCTCTGGGTTAGGAGGTGGTGCTTCAATGGCGTAGAATCTGGGCCACCAGAGCAGGAGACGGAGACTCGTTCTAGACAGATTGATTTACGAGCAAAACAATTAAGAACGAAAAACCACGTCCCGACTAAGGAAATTGGAAAGCTATGAAACCTCAGCCAGAGCAATTGTTTAAGCTAATGTAAGTTTGAAGAAGTTTACAATATTCAGGATACGAACGAAGAAATTTGTCCCCTCCTATTTAAGGTGTAATACCACCAAATCATAGTACGTCACATCCGCTTGCATTACGAAAAAGGGTCGAAAAAAATATTCCCTTGATTTTGACAGTTGTAGGAAACTAATCCTGCATTTCATTGCAGTAAAAAAATTCTGATTCAAAAAAATATTTCTTGGGTGTTTCAAAGCACCATTTTTTTATTTGGTGTTTCTATAAATATTTTGGAAACTTGAGGTTACTTGGTCACTAAAGCTTGTAAACAGGAATGAAAGGGGTGGTCATTTGATTGGTTAACTTCCAGTGATGGTTATTATCTTATATGCAATGAAATGTTATGTGAAATTTTGTCTGCAGTACTGGACAGGATAAAACCTTTACTCATGCCAAGTATTTCTTTATTTGAAACAAAGATAAATTCTGCACAATTTTTTGAAAAGTGCAAATTTAACAAAGACTAATAGGGGAAAACAATGGTGGTATTACACCTTAAACCTTCCCAAAAGAAAGGCCGAACGGGGACTATATGTGTTTTTAGATACTCGTCGCATATATTTGGCAATCGCCAATGGCAGTCAGCAGGGTTTAAGAACATCCGTTGTTCGACCTGCTAGTCAAATGCGTTTTGTTAAAATATACTTTTTCACTTTTTTGGTCTTTTGGAAAATGTTGTTTGTGCTGTATTTAGACCCCTCTACCAAGAAATTTGTTTTGCACGACACGTATAAAAATTGCGGTTTTTATCCAACGCAATCATAGGTTTGAACGTTGTTTTCAATTTAGACTTGTTAATATATATATATATTTATATAATTACTCTAAATATCAGCACAACAATGTTAAATCTGCAAATTTGCGGAAGCAAATTTTTGTTCTATATGTATATATATATAGTCTGTTTTGTTGCTTATGTCAATCAATCAACCAATCTTTTTTAATAGACGGGACTGGGCGGTAAGGAACTTAATAAATGGGGGAGGCTGGGATCCCCTTACAGTTACACAGTTATAAACATGTTTGATACAATTTTTAAACATATTTTCAATTCAATGAACAGGTAAACGAGATAAAACTGCATGAGCATTCATCATTTTTTGTTAATTCTAATTGACATCGATGGTTGAATATATCTCATCACAATTTTTCTGAAGGTCATATGTTATTGAGGAAAGATTGGTATTATGAACTTTAGAAAGCGTAGATGTCGTTGTACTTTCAGTTCGTTAATCGAGGCTCAATGGAGACACAATCATCTGGAGCCAGTAATTCAGTGGTTGCCGTTTGTTGCTGTATATTATATTTGTATTTCGTTAAATGTTTTTAAATAAATCGTACAGTTAGTTTTCCCGTTTGAATTGTTTTACATTTGTTATTCGGGACCTTTCATAGCTGACTATGCGGTATGGATTTTGCTCATCTTTAAAGGCCGTACGGTGACCTGTATTTGTTAACTTCTATATCATTTTGTCTCTTGTGGAGAGTTGTTTCATTGGCAGTTATACCACATCTGCTTATTTTAATATGATTTCAAAGTAAAATTTCCAAAGCGAAATGAATTGAAAGAACCTAATTTTTAACATTTTTGCCAATTGTTCATGGGGTAGGGATAAATATTTCAATTGTGAGAAGTTGTGAACCCTAATAACATTTAGAAATCTAATACCCTGGACTTTCATTTGATACAAACTTGAATATTTACTGAACTCTTGCATATTGGTAGACTCCATGAAGTGTATGGTGTTGAATTCCCAGTACCTTATGTCGGCCATCTTTAATTTGACGGCCATATTGGATTATTTTTGTGGCTTCATATTAGAATATTGTCTATGTCATTTAATCTTTCAATATGCCAAGTATCATGTGTTTACGATAAAGTGAACAATTGTAATAATATCCACAGAACTATAATTATTTAAAAGTATAAGTTGGTTAAGAATTAGAGAAAATTTATATATCATTTCAAGTTTTTATTCAATAAGTTTCCAAAGGGACGTTCCAACTCATAAGTCGAAAACAGACTGGTAACCCCATGGCTAGAAAAGAAAATGACAAACAACAGTCCACAAAACATATCATATAAAACTAAAGACTGAGCAATACGAACCCTACCAAAAGCTGTGGGTGATCTCAGGTGCTCCTGAAAGGGTAAGCAGATTCTGCTCCACATGTGCACCCGTCGTGTTGCTCATGTAAGTACAAACCCGGTTATAAGGCGTATTCGGTAGGTCACATTCGGGTAAAATAGGACGGGATTGTTGTTACGACAATTGCCAGTGAATTGGAACATATCCGTCGTCATCTGTGAAACAGATATTCCATAACGGTCAACCAACTCGTGATGGCGTCCTTAAAATTTAAGAAGGGATGATTTCGACTTCAACACTTGGAACTCTAGGTTAAATAGCTTCCTTGTGAGCAGCAAACCCATATTACGGAAATCATGATAGGAAATACAAGCCCTGGAATATCGTATCATCTGGGAGATATATACTCCTTATGCATGCGCTGCTGGAATGCTGTTACAAAGAAATGGGTAGTTCACAATTTGGAAGCTAAAATCATCTCTTTTGCCGTAAAGATTTGTTTTCAACCGACCTTTATTTTTAGAAGTCAGTCAAGATATGGCGGGTGATGCATGCATAGTAGGAGACACTTTCCCTGTCGACACATCCGGTCTCACTCCTGTTTGAGGATATGCTGTTCGCTCAGTTGTTTGTTTGTTTTGTCTGGATTTGTATCTTCTTGATGGAATTTTAGAGATTTTAAATTTCGATAACCTACTTTTGCCTCGTGATTCAATCGAAATGTATTATATTTATCAAAACAAGACCAAAATAAGCGAGGTAGGTCGGTCCATTTAATTTATCAACTTACCCTTTTTGTCACCGTGCTATACATGTTTACGCATTAAAAATTATTTAATCGATGAGAACGGAGATTCATGCATATAAATCCTTCTTAATAAATAATAATATACCAATAAATCAAATGTAACGTTTCCTTTTGGGTAGTTGCAACTTTCGGTTGTACAAATTTATGTGATTGGCTGATACACCTAGCAGTTTCGTTTCCCCTCAATGAATCGTTCGACCTCATTTAGATTATGTTTATTGAGGAAAAGTATGTGTTTTAACACCTAGGATTTATATAGTATCCATATAAATCCGTGTTAACCCACATCAAAAAGTATAATTACTCCTTTAAAAAAAGGTAAAGTCAACGTTCCTGTGAGTTTGACAAGTTAACTAGATTCTTTGTTTTGATGAAACACTTACCTGTTATGCACAGATATTAATACTCCTGATTTTACTTTTATTTCTCCGAAACTATAAAGTGGATCGAGAAATATCAGTAACAGCCCTTGTGTTTTCAATACCAGTTAATTAAATCGTAAAATATTACAAACATTTAAACATTGATGCAATGTTAAAAAATTAGTGTGTTGTATTCGTAGCCAACTGATAATTGACAATAATAAATATTCAAAACGATATTTTGCTTATCGAAAAAAATCCTTTATTTATAAACCGAGACGTCATATCTGAAAATAACTACAGTAAGGAATTTTCAAATCGATTTCAACCTGGTTTAAATGTTCCTACTCATCGTTTATTTTTAATCATTAAAAAGTTAACATTACATTCCTTTATTTAGTTGTCAACTTATTTTACATCCAGCTGTTCAATATTCTTTACTAAGATTCTTGAATCATGGTGATAATTTAGTCACATCCAAACTGAGGATAATTAAAGATGAAGGTGTTTACCTTAATTTTGAATAGCTGTTGCACTAATAAAATTTTTCTGTTTGTCTTGTTCTACGTCAACTGTAAGGGCTTTGGGCTCGTAAAGCTTTTTTATGTGAAACACATCTTAAAAACTATGCTTAATTCTACATTCAAAGGGGCATTAGCTGTCAAATTCGTGTTCACCGATTTGACCCAAATTCTCACATTTTGATTTATAACACACGTAAACGTATATTAATATAACAAAAAGTCTTAAAGACTAATGTATCATGATTTAGTGCGTATTTTAGACATTCAAACACGTGAAATTGTATAATAACGATTTTTCTAGGTATGTTTGATTTCATGTTATAGATAAAAAAAATATATAAATATCATAATTTTACCTGTATAATTATAAAAAGAAGATGTGATTGCCAATGAGACAACTCTCCACAAGAGACCAAACAACACAGAAATTAACAACTATAGGTCACCGTACGGCCTTCAACAATGACCAAAGCCCATACCGCATAGTCAGCTATAAAAGGCTCCGAAATGACAATTCAAACGAGAAAACTAACGGCCTAATTTATGTACAAAATAATGAACGAAAAACAAATATGTTACACAGCAACAATCGACAACCACTGAATTACAGGCTCCTGACTTGGGATAGGCACATACAGAATGTGGCGGGCTTAAACTCGTTCGAAGGCACCAACCCTCGCCTAACCTGATACAGTGGTGTAACAGTACAACATAAGAACAAACTATAAAAATCAGTTGAAAAAGGCTTAACTCATCAGGTGGATACAAATAGAAATACATAAAACAAAAACACAGAGTGGACGTGGACGGGTACTTATACATCCCCACAACAAAATGACACTTAATACAGATCTGAGAGTACTCGCAGTTACTGACAGCTAGTTCAAAGCCAATAACAACTAATAAAAAATCATGCATCTAAGACTAAAATATCAATCAGTACACATCCAACATCAAATGGATTTAGTATAAAGAGGTCAGAGAAAAACATGACTTTGTTCAATGCCAAGATACAGGTATCGACAGATTGTAGAGCCATGACTGTGCATATGTATATAAAAATAAAATTTAGTTTGATTTTAATTTACTGATAACAAAATCGATATTAATACCAATAAAACAATATACAAAGATCTAATGACAGTGTTGAATTGGTAACCTTTTAGAATAAGTTTATTTAAAGGATCGATAAGTTTACCCGGATCGTTTCTAAATTTCCGGGCTCGGTAAACAACATCTCCGTAAAAATGAGGATGTGCTATCCCGTTTGAAATAAGTTTTCTACAGGAACAACCAAACTTCAAAACCAAATCTTTATATCTATGGAAGAATTTAGGAAAGGTTTTAAGTAATTTGTGGTAACGAAATCCCTGACTTAATAATTTACCAGTAATACATAGATTACGTTGATTGTAATCCAAAACGTCACAACAGACACGGGCATAGCGAACGAGTCGTGATATATACACACCGTAAGATGATGCCAAAGGAACATCACCGTCCAAAAAAGTAAAATTAACAAAAGGAAACGAAAAATCGTCACTTTTGTCGTAAATTTTAGTGTAGAGTTTACCGTGTAAAACTGAAATATCTAAATCTAGGAAAGGACATTTATTACCGTTTATATTTGATTTATTTAAAGTAAGTTCCTTTGGGTAAATTTCGGCAGTATATTTAGAAAATTCTTGATTATTTAACGAAAAAATATCATCAAGATAACGGTAAGTGTTGTTGAATTTATCAATTAAATGCAATGTAGACGGGTCTTTATTGAGTTTGGTCATAAACTATGATTCATAACAGTACAAGGACAAGTCTGCTATTAAAGGGGCTCAATTGGTTCCCATACCTGTCGATAAACTTTATTGCCGAAACGTACATAAATATTATCAAGGAGAAAATTAACAGCTTCAATCATCTCATCACACCTCCAGTAAGTATATCTAGCATATTTACCTTTCTCATTAGAGAAGAAGGCTTTAAATGAGTTGCAGCAAATATATTTGAATTCAGATTTCCTAAACGACCATTTAATAAAATATGAAAACTTTTGTTTTAATAAGACTGTGTGGAAGTGTAGTGTAAAGAGTTGAAAAGTCAAAACTGTCAACAGAATCAAAAGGACCATCAAAAGCACGTAATTTATCTAAAACATCCAAAGAATTTTTTACACTCCAAAAATAGTTAATTCCACTATTATCATATATTAATTTTATTACAAAAGTTAATGATAAGTTCTTTAGTAGTTAATGAACTAGTTAAAAGCACTGAAAGATTAGTTGTAGAACACTTACTAGAGGCCGATATGAATCGATATTTCACTGTTTTTTTGTGTAGTTTAGGTAAATAGAGGCAACAGTAGTATACCGGTGTCATAAAAGTCATAAATCGATTGAGAGAAAACAAATCCGGGTTACAAACTAAAACCGAGGGAAACACATCAACTATAAGAGGAAAACAAGGAACAACAGGAACACTGAAGTGCAAAAAAAACAAACGCCAACATACATAGAAACGACCTATTTGATAATTTAGGTAGCCAATACATAGTAGGGACCTTCAAATGTTCAGAAGAGGCCTTCAGTTGTGATGTGGTTATGATATGTTTGTTTACTATATGACTCTCTGTGGAGCGCACGGACTTGAATGTAGAAGAATTTAAAATTTCATTCTTAAGAACGTCCGTGTAGTATTTACGGCATACCACCACCACATTGTTGGCTGCTTTGTCGGCCGGTACAACCACAAACCGCTTTGAAAGAATGTTTTGTTGTGGGACAGATGAGTCAAAGAAATTGTTATTCCTGGTGTCTCCCTTGTTTCACTTTCAGTGTAAACATTCTTTTGTTTTAAATCAATGAACCACATGCTGAACACAAGTGTAACGGATCTCCACTAAAAATCAAATGAAATATTACATAATACGCATTCAAATGAGGTTGAAACATCAGCGATGTATTTTAGCTGATTTTGACGAAATTACACCAAACTGACTGCTAGTTATTTTTATAATCCGCTTTCATAAGGTTTGAAACGAAAAGAACTTTTTTTGTCTAATTCGGTGCTCATTCCCTTTAAGTATGCAGCAAAGAAACGATTCTCATTAAAACATATTATATGATCTATATCTTTTCTGGTTCTCACGTTTTATTTGAGATGGTTTGCAGTAGCTCTCTGATTATAAAGAAAGTACTTTTTATTGTTATTTCGAAGTTTTATGACAAGAATAAACATATCATAAATTCAATAAAAATGACCAGAACAATAAAATATACAAATGAGTCAACATGGAGGAATAGTCAACTGAACCCTTATAGGAGTTATTGCCCTTGGATAACTAGTTTTAAGCTCTTTTTTGTCAGAAACTATGACAGAATGAGAGAAATTGTAAAAAGCAAAAGTGTTCAGCCAAATGAGATCAACAAAATAAGACAACATGCACGAATTGTCAATTAATCTCTTATAGGAGTTATTGTCATTGAAAGAATAATTTTGTTCATTTTTTGCGTTTTGATCCAGAAACTATTGTATGTGAAAAGCATAAGTTTTCAGCAAAAAAAGATCTACAAATAAATCAAAATAACCGAAAGTGTCAAGTAACGGCTTACAGGAATTATTACTCCATTTTTTTTTTTTAATTTTTATTGCGGAAAAATTATAGATCTAGAAATTGTAAAAAGCAAAGATGTTTAGCACAATAAGATCTACACATAAGTCAACATGGCTGAAATTGTCATCTAGCTCCTTTTTAGGAGTTATTGTGATTGTTTTCTATTTGTGTTCTTTATGCAAAAATTATAATAGATACAGAGAAACAGCAAAAAAAAAAAAAAAGCAAAATTGTCGACACAATAAGATCTCCAAATCAGTTATCTTGGCCGGAACTGTCAACAGACTCCTTATATAAGTCATTTCCCCTGAATGAATGATGATTTTATCCATTTTTTTTTTTGCGATTTGGTCAAATACTTTTTTTATAATAATATAAATCTTTGGGAGCCTTTGGTTTTATTAGTTATTAATATAGAAAGTATAATAAAAATGAGTTATTAAAACGAGAGGCTCTATTAAAAGAGGCTTTGTCTCTCACCTGGATCAGTGTGCATCTTAAAAAATGACCACTCTCCAACATTGTATGATATAGAATATAATTTATGATTTAATCCTTGTTTTTGTTGACCGTGTCTTTCTGATCATTTTTACAGGTTTTTTTTTGTTCTTTGTCTACTATAGGAATTTAGGATCCTCAATGCTATATATTAGACTTCGTACTTTAATTTGCATTTTATACTTTTAAGTTCACTTGCAAGTGAGCTCTTCTCATCACTTGGCGTCCGTTTATTTTGATACGAAATCTCCTCTGAAACTAATGGGCAAATTGCCAACAAAAATGGCCTACATGGTTAGAAATATATATAGGGGTAAAACACTAATTTTGTCCAAGATCTTGGAAAGCCATACAAAGTTTCTCTCTGTCTACTAATGTGAGGGTATCCAAATTGTACCTATTTTGACAGTTTTTTCACATACTGTATGGGTTTTTTTTATGATTAAAACAAAGGTTTCCATTTTGTGTTTATTATGTAGATATATCCTTATTTAAGGTATAGTTCAACCAATTTGATTTTTAATTCCATATGGAATCAAAGAAAAATGGGTTTGAACCAACCTCCAAACGATCCAGGAATCTGTAATGAGCAGTGCATCCATGCAGTTTA